TACCTCTGAATCACCCCTAAAAATACCTCCACAGCAACAAAAATATGAAGTGTTACTTTTGTCACGTTCTAAGGGCAGTGAACTGCTCTGAAATTCATCAGTGCAGAAGCTGCTTCCTGTAAATGGGCAGGAGCTCTGGACATCAATACGGAGGAAAAGTTGTAGGTGGATCACCTGCCTTCCCCCAACCTACAAGAACTGTGTACCTGAGGAGAACCTGCTTTTTGTGGCTAACAGAGCCACCTTCTCAAAGCTGGACCTGGCACTGGACCAAAAGTCCAAAGCCATGGCATGTTTTGCGAGAACTTCAGCAAAAACCATCTCATGGGGGTCAGTGGATTGGTTAACACCTAACTCTCATCTGCCAAAAAAAAAAGAAAAAAATCATTACAACCAAAGAAGTTATTCTGCTAAAGCAGTAGATAGAAGGACTTGCTGGGTGCACAGATATAGTTAAAATTTGTTTTCCTCTTAACTTTTCCTTACTCAATTCAACAGAAATAGTCCCTGGCTATTGAACAGCATTCTTCATCAGGAGAATTCAAAATGCTTCACAAAGTAAGTTAGCCTCATTACCTCTTTTGTACACATGGGGAAAACAGAGGCATAGATAGGTGCTATGACTTGACTACCATCACAAAAAAACCACAGTGGTGGAGTTGCAGTCAGAATATGCATCTCCTGCAGAGGAATCTAGTGTCTTATGCCACTGGAAGCCTTTCTGCTGGAGACTGCAAAGACAATGCCAAAAAATCACTGCCTTGTACAGCTGTTATCTCATGGTAATCATCTGGGTCCTAAAACTGCAATGTCTTTTGTGCACAGACTCTCCCTCCATGCTTTCTAAGAAACCTACAATCAAACAATATTTAAATATAAAGAACATGTGAAAGATATATTTTTCTCACCGTAATCCAGCTTGAAGAGCGCTCACGTTCTTGTCTTTATCCAGCCCTGCTAAAGTGCTCGCCAAAACGGAGACATATCGGTTATCAAGTCGATTAAGCTTCTCCTATTAGAGAGTTTTCACGACGTTAGATTACTTCAGGCCAGTAAAAACGTCAAAGAAAAACTTCAAAGAAAAACTGGCCACATTTAATGTTTTCCTGCAACACCATCTTTCTTTCCAAAAGTCAATTTATCAGCTTGAATTCTCCTTTGACCTACAAGGCCTCACACCAGTCAAATTTAATTGATTTGAAAAGGGTCGTGTTTTTTGAGACTTCTTCCTTCTGTTAAGTCTTGCTGAAATCAGCCAGTGGTTTCAAAAACGAAGGAAACTAGAAGCCCCCACCAAGTAAGTGAGCCTCGTTTCCATGGGACGTCAGACTAACCCACGGATATAACGCAAACTCTCACTAATGCTGTATAGCCTGCCAAAATTAGCCGTGAGGTTCCAGGCCAATCTTTAGGAAAAGAGGGATTTTGATACTTACTTGGCACACCCTCAAGAAGGTCTGGACCAGGAGAGTGTTCTGAGGAACGCCTAGGTTCACCACAGCATGCAGGCTGAACACCAAGTCCCCCCGCGTCATCCGTCTGGAGTCCCGCAGCAGCTGCTGGCAAAGCGGAACGAAGGCCGGGTGCTCAAAGATCAGCCGCTTCTCGTAACGCCGCTGGTCTTCAGACAGGTTTTTGAAGAGTCGCCACAACGTAGTCAAACAGTTTGTGAAATGCTTGGTGGAAACGGCAGACTCTGAAACCAAGTCCAGTACGTCAGACGGACACGTGCATTTCTGGAGGCTGTTAAAGAACTGCTCGGTGTGAACCGTTCCTTGCTTCGCTTCCAGGTTCCCGGAACCATCCTCCAACTTTTGAAGTGTCAAGGAGCTCGGGGGGGCCTGCTCACTCACCAAAGCCTCTGTGCTCTTCTCCACTTGTATTTTAGCACCTGTACTAAAAACATCTGTCTTCTGAGATAGAAATCGAAGAGATGATTGATGCAGACACCGAAAAATGTTTAAAAAGATTTTTCTGAAGTTTGCGTTTTCCATGGGATCCTTATATCTGCCAATCCCCAAAGCGTGTGCTCTCACTGTAGCTGAAGAGCTGGGTGCCTGCACAGAATTGCACCTATGCACGCATCTCACTGTCTTTAATAAATAACTTATTTTATTATTCATTTTTGCTAATACCCGATTAACGGGTTGCAAGTACCAGCTCGGGACAACAGATCCGATGAAATTCTACCGGTGGAAACAGGCCTGGAGAAACAGTGTAAGGTCATTTATCTGTAAAGCCAATTGAGAAGTAGAGATTAGTTAAGAGACTTTCTATTCCTAAAGTAAATCGCCAGATTTACCCATTTCTTTTACAGAAGAAGGGTTGCTAATACCCGATTAACGGGTTGCAAGTACCAGCTCGGGACAACAGATCCGATGAAATTCTACCGGTGGAAACAGGCCTGGAGAAACAGTGTAAGGTCATTTATCTGTAAAGCCAATTGAGAAGTAGAGATTAGTTAAGAGACTTTCTATTCCTAAAGTAAATCGCCAGATTTACCCATTTCTTTTACAGAAGAAGGGAAAAAAAAAGGAAAAGAAAAGATGTAGAAAACACACGATGCGGCCGCTCCCGCTAGGCTACGAGCCCTCTCAAGCGCGACGCGGTAGAGGGGACTTACAGGGGGATACAGCCCTCCCGGTGGGTGCGCACCGGCTCCTGGTGGCTGGT